TGTAACCGAACGTGCAAGAATTGAGTAGCCAGTCAAGGTCGTTAAAAAGTCACACAAATATATATATACAAGTATAACGTACTATTAAATATTTTGAACAGTTAAATTAAGGGAACCTATATAAATATAACTAGAAAACTGTCAAATAATTATAAAAGAATTCAGATATATATATTTTTTATGAGTGTATGTATATCTCTATATTTTAAAATAAAAATGTCACAAATATATTTTGCAGGAAAAAAGATAAATATTGTTAATTTATAAAATATATATTGAAAAATGAAAATTATGCAATATTTTGTGGAAAAAGTTTTAGTTTAATTGCTTGTCAATTTTACAATAGGTGTTTCCTATTAGTGGGTGTGATTTTTTTTGTAAAAGTTTAAATTGTGACTTTTTTATATTTTTATTAAAATAATTGTTTCAATATACATACATACACATAAATATCTGTATTATATATATACACATATTTTTGTCAGTGATTTTTAACTGTGTTTTTTCATTAGATTTCTTAACTGTTATATGTGTTCTATTTTTCTATTTGATTTTAAAAGGAATGAAGGGAGAAGGGGTTAGGGAGGCTAGGATTTAATACTATGTCCTTACATTGTTAGGATTGATTAGTGGTCAGGTGTTTTTGTATCTACAATCAATCGAATTGGATTTGTTTGTGGGAGAAGGTGTTAGGGAGGCTAGGATTTAATACTCTGTCCTTACATTGTTAGGATTGATTAGTGGTCAGGTGTTTTTGTATCCACAATCAATCGAATTGGATTTGTTTGTTTTTTGTTGTGCATTGTAATATTTTTCATTAATTTTTATCATGCAATTTCAATACACAATTGCTTGTCTTGTATAAACTTATAACATTTGTCTTATATTTTCAAGTTTCATTTGAGCCTCTCTTTAATTTTTTTCATAAATATTCATAATGAAGGTACCTTAAAGTTTGATTGGGTAGGGTTTTTAAGTCCTTATTTTTAATTTTTTAGCTATTCAATTGCTGAAAACTTAGTGAGTTGTTTTTTGTTTATGCGTTTTGCTTCAATATTTTTAAAAGTTTATGTGTAATCAATACAATTTTAGGATATTTTACTCTGAACAAGGCTTAAGTTAGTCTCAAAAAAATAAAAATTTTGCAATTTTTCCATTTATAAAGGAGCATAACTCTAGAACGGTTAAAGTGACGCCACCAAAATTCAACTTGATTTGTTTTTTGTGGTAATAAGCATTGTGTATAAGTTTCATAACATTTGGTTGAGGCAAACTTAAGTTAGAGAACGGAAACTAAAACAGAAGATTGTATAAGTAAATAATACTTTATATAAATATATCCTGTGCTTTAAGCCTCCAGAATTAATGCATTTCAATAAATGACATACAAATAATTACATGCAAGTAGAAGACAATAACAAATAAATACACAAATATATGATAATGATAAGGTTTTTGACAAGGTACATTTATATAATTTAATTATATATTAAATCAGAAAAAATATCTCTTTTTAAATTGCTATCCAAACTGCTTTATGAAGTTACAAGAAAACTTCTATGAGGTTTTTGACAAGGAACATATATACAATTATAATATTATATATTAAGTGGAAAAAATGTCCCTTTCTTAAATTGCTATCCAAACTGGTTTATGGGGTGAAAAGAAAACTTCTAGTGTTCCACTTTGAAATGAATTAGTATGCAAGTTTGTGAATATCAGGTCAATACATGTATTGTCATCAGTTGTTGGAGTTGTTATCAATTGTCTGAATGAAATTGAATTGAAATACTGCTCCAGTTGTTGTTTTTCAGCATTTTGCTCAGACCAGTTAACATTGAAATCACCCATAATTATAACTTCTTTCCTTGTAAAATATTTTATTTCAAGGTTCTTCAAATGGGATAACAAGGATTTTATTGGAATCTTTGGTGGACGGTACAGGAAACAAACCAACAAATCATTAATTGGATGCTGTAGTTGAATTAGAGATGATTCTATTGTTTTTGAATTAACATCTATAGGATATCCTTCTACAAAAGTACACTTTTTGTAGTAAATTGCTAGCCCATATGAAGGTCTGATGTGACCTTGTGGGGCATTAGAGTCTTGTCTATAAGTGTGAAAGTATTGTAATTTTGTGACATCATCATTGTCACTGAGTAGAAATCTTGTTTCACAGAAGCAAATTAAGTCTGCAGATGTCAAACTGTAGTCTAACCTAACATCTTCAATATGTTTATGTAACGAATTAGCATTCAGAAATACTATTCTATATTTATTTGGTATTTCATTTAAAAAAATCAGTGATGTTGCAGGTGGGATTTTTCTCAAGCGCTCCATCTCTTTTTTTACAGCAGAATTAATGCTTATTTTATTTTCTTGAAGATGAAGAATTTTTAATCCTTGTATTGTTGTTATTCTGCTTAATGCTTAATGCAACATAATGAATGTGGTCTATCTTGCAGTGACTAGTTAAATCCACATTTAATGTATCTCCTTGAGATCTGTGAATAGTTTTTCCTGCAGCAGGCCTTAGTGGAAACTGCATCCTTTGAATTTGGGATTCACCTTTATAGCCAGCAGCAAATTGTCTTGTTGCAGGTTCAATTGGTGTCCAAGAAGAATGTATTTCCTTTGAATACAAGTGTTTTTTATGTTTTCGCAAAAAGTTCCCTGTAATTTCTGATGGAAATTTTACCCAAATTATGCCTGATGCATATGGAATTTCAGTTAATTTAATTTTTTGAACTATACAAGCTGCTCCATTAATTAACCCATCTTCACAATCAAGGTTCAATGTTATTTCATAAGTTAGACCTTCTGCTATTTCTTAAATTGTTGATAGTTGAGAAACATCTTTAGACTTATTTTGAAACGATTTCAAAACTTTAGTACTTACATCTGCTTTGTAGTTACCAACTAGTCTATCCTTAGCTTTGGCAGTTGTTTTTACAGATGTAGTTTTTTGAAATATAGTAGCATTGTGTTCATTCACTTTCTTATTTGAAAAAAATACATGTGGAGTATCATGTGGGTAGTTTTCACTACTTTCTTCAATACATTGAGTTTTTAGTAGTTTGATATCATCAGATGTATGATTTCCTTCCCTGAGTCTATTTAATAATTCTGCAAACTCTTTATTTTCTCTTTGACGCATAATTATGCTCAGTTCTGTCATACAGAAGTGGTCTTCCCATAAATTTACAGCTAAAGGCATGTACCCAGATTTTGGAGGTTGGAAAATGTAAGAATCCATCACTGGTTTCAACTGAAACAGGTCACCGACAGCGATAATAGAAATTCCACCAAATGGTTCTTTAGACTGTTTGATCTCCATCAGCCTTTGATGTGTGAAATTTAGCATTTTAAATCCTACCATGGAAATTTCGTCAATAAATATAAGTTCCACATTTCCTAATTTGGTCTGTAATGTGTTTAAAGAACTAGATTCTAAGGATCTGAACTGAAGACTTTGATTGCATGGAATACGCAGTGTAGAATGAATTGTGTTTCCATGAATATGGTAAGCAGCTTTTCCAGTTGGTGCCATCAACAAAACTTTTGGAGTAGTGAAATCATCTCCTGGTCTTCTATTATAAAATTTTAAAATCATTTGATAGAGAGCCTTAGTTACAAATGACTTTCCAACTCCAGCTCCCCCACTGAGAAAATGGTATACTGGTTTGTCACTTGTCTTGATTTGATGGACAACATTATATATGAACTGTATTTGCTGCTGATTAAGTGATCTCATATGAACACAAAAGTCACTATTTGATAATTCATTGTAAGAGTTTAAATCCTCAGTAGCTGAAACTCTTACTCCTAAGTCAGGTCCAATGTCATAGTCAGATAAGTTGTTGTTTGTTATTTTTTCTCTTTGTGCTGCATCTTGTTGCTCCCTGTGTTGTGTATTAGGTGCAATACCGTTCCACCCTTCTTCTAATTCTGGCTGGTTTGACAACAATTCTTCTGCACACTTTATTGCTGTACGAAAGGGTTCAAATTGTTGCCTTTTTATCTCAATTGTTGACTCTAATTCTTGAAATCTTTCAGTGTATGTTGAAAATTTTCCTAAAATGTCTGATTCTTCATTTCTCCATGGGGAATAAAGCATTAAGAGTTCTCTGTGGTAGTTTTCAATGTCTTTGTCTGGGTTATAGTGGACTGTTCTTATAATTTTCGTTTTACGTCGTTCCCTATAGGTAGAAGTTGATGGCGTGGTTTCATTGTCTGAAATATCTTCATCTTCTTGGTGTTGTTTTTCAGGTAAATAACCATCTTTTGTATTTTTACACAAAGATTTTGAACGTGAAATGTAAGTAGATGTAACTCTTTCATGTGAAGATGCAAATTCAGCCAAACATAGGTTTTCCATTGATTTTGGTCGTTCTGAATATCTTGAAAGTAATCCTTTACACTCTATTTCATCATCATCATCATTCATAGATTCTAATTGATTTTGAGGTTTAAGTAGTACAACACGTTGATCTGTAGGTGATGTATTAATAAAAATAACTTGTCTGGAGGATTTTTTCAATGGAAGTTGGAGAGAAAGGTAGCTGGTTTCTTGTGCACTTATCTCAATAGCATTAAGAAATTTGTTGCTGATTAAACGGACTTGTTCTCTAATTGATTTATTTCCGGAGTTTGCTTCTTTGCATGCTGCTGTTAATAATTCACTCATTCCTCTTTGAGTTTTTGTCATATATGAAGCTATATAGATGGCACAAGCATATACATCTATGACAAACTGTAGATCCATGTTTGCCCTCCATGCCTTCAGACATGCAGTACTGTAACTGTTTATTCTAATTTCCAGTAAAGATCTCTTTAGAAAAACTGTTGGTGTTTCAATAGATGATCGAACAGCTAGAATGTATTCTACTTCGTTCAGTGCTACTTTTTCAAAAAATTGTTGAAAGGAAATGTTCTCTCCATCATTCATTGCTACTAGTGTGTCATGTATTTTCTTCCAATTACATTTGTGGTTTTCTTTTAATGTGACAGTGTCTTCCAATGGATGAAGAATAACTGTTTGTTGCATTGGTGGTTTAGGAAAGCCAAATCTACATTTTTTTTCCCTTTTTTTTTACAAGTCCGACTGTGTTTATGTTGTTGTAACTTCACTAATGTAGTGAGACTATCATCTGCATTTTGAATAGAACATGTAATAAATTTGTCAATGTACTTGCAAATATCTTCATTGTTGTTATCATTCAAATTTGGGGCATTATCACACCAGATCATCATATGAACATGTGGTGATCCTCTCTGCTGAAATTCTATTCTGGAAAACCAATCAGTAACATTTCCGACAGGATGGAGATCTGATAAAATAAAATTTGTCATAAAAGACTGAAGGGAATGATCAAAGTGTCTTGCACATGTAACAGGATCAGATTGTATAAGACGACTTTTTTCTGACCAGGTTAAATTTTGAAGTTCTTCATCAGAATAGTCTTTTTCATCAACTAACTTTGCAAGAATTCGTAGAAGATGGATCCATTGAGTTTCAGCAGCAGATAGTGTTAGGAAGAATGTAGCTGGTCCTAGTGTTCGTATCATGGCAAACAATTCTTTGGAAATAGCCTGGAAGTATGGAGGAGATCCTCTCAGTGTTTTCAGAACTTTGTAACCCTGGTCTAAATGGATGAGGTTGTGTACATTTTGCTGTTTCACATCTTTGGCTGTCAGGTGTTGCCCATCGGTCTTAAATTTTCTTAAAGCAATGTTTGTTTGATCAATGAGGTACTTCATTTGGAGTTTTTTGGTTTTAAAAAAAATGTTTTCAACATTTCTAGCACACCTCCTATCCATATTTCTTAATTCTGATTTGACAATTTCTCCGTAAGAAACAGGTACAGTTCTTTGGTCATTGGGAATTCGAGCTTGACCACAGAAGATACCAGGGTATGCCTGTTCCTCAGCTGTCTTTTCCGTAAATATACTTATTGGTTGGTTATTTTCTGCTGGAGCAAAACTGTAAACTAAATCTCTTTCATTAGTTTCAAAGAAATCAGGTGTAGTTAAAAACGTATCAGTAGATCCTGCAACATGTTCATCATGTTTTTCTTCTTCCCATTCATCTTCGCTGTCAACATTTAAATTTTCTGTATTGACAGTTGTATCTTCTGTTCTTTCCTCAGCATAGTCGTTGTTATTGTCGTTATAATCATCACTGTTTTGGTTTTCTTCAGTACTTGCATCTAGTGACTCTGTCCAGTTGAGGTTGTATTTAATATTTAAAGACTTGTATAATGTACCTGTTTGTGAAAGGAACTTTACACCTTCTCGTACCATTTCTGGCCGAATATTTGAACTGTACACACAATGTTTGTGTCTCAATCTTCTTTAAAGCTGGGCTTTTATAGTTGAAGTGTTATTAGAAAGTCTTGGAAGAGACTGTACTGTGTTAACAGTATCTGAGGGGACAACAACCATATTGCCTTGAATTTTCAACTGTTTACCTACAGGAGCCTTATGAATCTTCATGAATGGTAGCAATGGTGACAGAAAAGTAAATTCTAATGGATTAAGGTTTCGCATAATTCCTTGAGGAGGAAATTCCATTCCATTTGCAGCAGCAGATGGTGGCATTTTTGATTTCTTTAAATGACTATGACAGGTTTTGCAAATCCATTCTCTTCCACCAACACTTTTAATACCTGTTACACATTTCTCAATTATTCTTGCAAGAGCAGCAGAATTATCTCCTTTTTTAATTCTTGCTTTACTTATTTCTGTGACTGCTTTTTTGTATAAAAGTTGCTTACAACAGGTACATATATACAGTGGTCCCTCAGTTACTATTTTGTGAAAGTTTGTTATTAATTCTTCTATACTATTAGCCTTTAAGTTTATTTTTTTTTTGTTGGTTTTCTTTCTGTAGGACTCCTGGATTTAGACGAACTCTTCTTTTGTGCTGTTTTTCCTTCTGTAGGACTCCTGGATTTAGACGAACTTTTCTTTTGTGCTGTTTTTCTTTCTGTAGGGACTCCTGGATTTAGACGAACTTTTCTTTTGTGCTGTTTTTCTTTCTGTAGGACTCCTGGATTTAGACGGACATCCTTTTTGTGCTGTTTTTCTTTCTGTAGTACTTCTGGGTTTTTGCGTACTTCCCTCTTGTGCTGTTTTTCTTTCTGTAGGACTTCTGGGTTTTTGCGTACTTCCCCCTTGTGCTGTTTTTCTTTCTGTAGGACTTCTGGGTTTTCGCGGACTTGCCTCTTGTGCTGTTTTTCTTTCTGTAGGACTTCTGGGTTTTCGCGGACTTGCCTCTTGTGCTGTTTTTCTTTCTGTAGAACTTGTGGGTTTTCGCGGACTTGCCTCTTGTGCTGTTTTTTCTTTCTGTAGAACTTGTGGGTTTTCGCGAACTTCCCTCTTGTGCTGTTTTTCTTTCTGTAGAACTTGTGGGTTTTCCCGAACTTCCCTCTTGTGCTGTTTTTCTTTCTGTAGAACTTGTGGGTTTTCGCTTACTTCCCTCTTGTGCTGTTTTTCTTTCTGTAGGACTTGTGGGTTTTCGCGAACTTCCCTCTTGTGCTGTTTTTCTTTCTGTAGGACTTGTGGGTTTTCACGGACTTGCCTCTTGTCCTGTTTTTCTTTCTGTAGCTGTTTTTCTTTCTGTAGTACTTCTGTGTTTTGGCGGACATCCTTTTTGTGCTGTTTCTCTTTATGTAGGACTTCTGGGTTTTCGCGAACCTTCCTTTTGTGCTGTTTTTCTTTCTGTAGGACTTCTGGATTCAGGCGGAGTTTTCTATTGTGCTTTTTTTCTTTCTGTAGGACTTCTGGATTTACACGGAATTCCTTCTTGTGCTGTTTTTCTTTAAGTTGGACTTCTGGGTTTTGGCGAATTTTTTTTTTGTATTCTCTTTCTTCCCGTAAAACTTGTGGATATTTCCGCTTCAACTGTTTTGGCTGTGCATCTCTTTTTTGTTGCATTGATTTATATATTGGGTCTTGCCTTTTTTTTCGTAACCATAACTTTTTTTTGTCTGACCTTATTCTAGTATCACTATTTGAAATATCCTTACTAGTAGATGCATGAGAATCATTCAGAGAACTTTGTAAATTGTTGGTAGTAATTTTTTTAGGAATTATGTAGTTGAATGGTAGCTTTAAATTCTTTCCATTAATGGTTTCCAACATTTCTTCATACTCAAGTTTTGGAGTAGAGTCTAGACTGCATGAGTCCTGGAAAACAAATTGGTGTAGAAAATATAACAAATTTCAAGTCAATGTCTGGTGGGGGGGGGGGGGGAGGGGAGGAGACCCGTTAATATATTTTAGCCCGTCAAATTATGTATGTATGTGCCTGTCCCAAGTCAGGTGCCTGTAATTCAGTGGTTGTCATTTGTTTAAGTGTTACATATTTGTTTTTCCTTCATCTTTTGTACATAAATTAGGCTGTTAGTTTTCTCATTTGAATTGTTTTATGTTGTCATTTGCGACCTTTTATAGCTGACTATGCTATATGGGCTTTGCTCATTGTTAAAGGTTTTTCATTGACCTGTAGTTTTAAGTTTGTCATTTGGTCTCTTGTAGAGAGTTATTGCATTGGCAAATGTCATTTATGATCTTTTATATCTGACTATGACTGGGATTTCCTCATTGTTGAAGCCACTACAGTGAGCTTTAATTGTTAGTTGGCCATTTGGTCTGTTGTGAAAGTTGTCTCATTGGCAATCATACCAAAATTTCCTATTTAATGAAAGTGCTTGTATACACTGAATGGTAAAGATTGCTTTCATTTATCACGAATAAGTAAAATTGAATATTGCACTGTATAAAGCATTGGTTGTGGTTTATTCAAATACCATTTTGGACAAAGAAAGACAACTCCAATTTCAAAGAAGACTTAAAAATATATTTAGAAATGAAGGTTAAAAATTGCTTTAATTTATCATTAGAAGGCATAATTAAACATTGCAATGTATAAAGTATTGATTATAGTTGATTCAACTATAACCATTGACAAAAGAAGATAACTCTTAATTTTTTTCCAACTTTAATGTTTTGAGGTAAAAAGCATTATGTATATGTTTCATACAAATAGGTTAAGGCAACTGACGTCAGAAAACAGAACTTAAGATTTCAGACCTGCCAACTTTTGAAAATCTCCATGGGGGATTTAGTGCGCGACCAGAATTTTAGGGTTACAATTTTTGTGAGGTTTCTGTGTGCACCGTTTTTTACTCTTGAAATAGTCTCATATCTCTTCTTTTTTCTTTTGGTATACTGATGTAAGCTTAAAAGCCTAATTGATTTATTTTATTTGCATGATTCTAAGAATGTATTTATTAATTGGCAAAATAACTTAAGAATATATATAGAAAAATGGCATTAAAAAGAAACGATAGAAAGTGAAGACCTCCCCCCCCCCCCCTCCAAAGACCTTCTATATTTGCACCATGACTCAAAATACCTGAACCTAAATGTCTTAAAGTTAGAAGGATGAAGACAGATTTTGAATTAGTCTATCAGTATTAATGAGAAAATGGATTAAATTGGAGTTATCTTTCTTTGTGTTCAGAAGCAATTTTTTTCATTTGTAAAGGGGCATAGGTCTGTTGTGACAGTTGTTTCATTGGCAATCATAACAAAATTTGCAATGTATATTTTGCTTATATTTCATAACAATTGATTTAGGCAAACATTCAGCAAATTTTTCATTTGTAAAGGGGCATAAGCCTAGAACAGTAATCAAAGTGCTTGTATGCACTGAATGGTAAAGATTGCTTTAATTTATCAGTAGGAAATACAATTTAATATTGCATTGTATAAAGCATTGGTTGCATTTTATTAAACTACCATTCTAGACAATGAAAGACAACTCCAATTTTCACAGAAGAAAATTATATTTAGAAATGAAATTAAAAGACGCTTTAATTTATCATTAGAAAGCAGAATTAAACATTGTTTTGTGTAAAGTGGACAAAGGAAGATAACTCCAATTTTTTTCCCAATTTTAATTTTATGTGGTAAAAAGCATTATGTATATGTTTCATAACAAATAAGTTAAGGCAACTGAAGTCAGAAAACAGAACTTAAGATTTTGCAATTTTTACCATTTACAAAGGGGCATAACTCAAGAATAGTTGTAGTGACCCCACCAAAATTCAAACTTGATCTTTATTTTGTTGTAATTTGTAAAGGAGATTAACCTTAGAAAAGTAAAAGTGACACCACCAAAATTCAAACTGTAAGCATATTGTGTATCAGTTTTATAACAGTTGGTTGAAGCAAACTTATGTAAAGGAAGGAAAACTAAAGTTTTTGCAATTTTTTCATTCATAAAGGTTGCATAAACTTGACCTTTGTTGTGTGGCAATAAGCATTACATCATCAAAATCTACCATGACCAAAAATGTAAACTTGAAAAGAGACAGATGGATGAATGACAAAGTGGTTGCACAGAACATAAAACATAACAGCTTTCATATCTTGTTTACAGAGTACTTATAATTAAAGCTAACTTACTAGTCCATCACTTCCTACTTTTCTACATTTGGGTGGTTCAGGTAATTCCAATTTAATATCCTGTAACATGTGAAATATCATGTGAAATAAATGATAATATAATAAAAATGTTTTAAAATCCTAATAATGTTAAAAGACATAATATAAATACATGTAATCAGCTGCCTGTAGTATATATGATAAATAATATATATAACCCTGTATTTAAATGTTAATCAATCCAAAATTTATGTCTGATCATGTCAATAAAACAGAAGAAAATGAAATCAACTTCTCCAATAAAAAAACCACATGATTACCATCTCCATAACTTGTATGTAATATTTCTCTAAATGTTCTGCACATCAGAATTTTTTTAACATTTTCCATAGTTTTCAAATTTTCTTCAATGTTTGTATTTGAGTGGATGTTAATTAGTTTTCCTTTATCCATGACTTTACAGTAAAGAACAATTTCCAGTGATGGTTTACCCAATAAATCAGGACTTAATCCTAAATGCTGTATAGTTCTTTTTATAATTTCTTCATTCAGGAGTACATTAGAACTGACATTAACAGAATGTAAGAAATAGTCCGATCCAATTTCAATAAAATCAAAATTGTACACATTGTTAAATTCATCTTTAAAATAAGCACTGTCACCATATTCATTAAATTTCAGATGGTCATTATTGAAGGAAATAACTTGAAAATCATATTTATAAGTGTATGTTGCATCAGCTCTAATGACCTCTCTTAAATGAGAGAGAATTTCATTCACTGGTACAGGCAGTTTATTCAGTGGCAATTCTTTCTCAAGAACAGTGATACCTCTTAAAACTGTTAGAGTTGCTGGTTTTAAAAGTGCCATGATCTGATTATTCTTGTGTACTACAGGACCTTTAAAGTATAATATTTCAAGGTGATTTAATATATATATTTAATTCCAATTTAAAAAACAATTTCAAATTCATAGTGTAATCATGGTAATGATTGATTGATTGATCAATGCTTAAGGTACCATGGCAAATATTTCATACATGTTCAGGACAATCATGTTAATAAACACTATTACTTTCATAAAACAATTAAATACTGCTGATACATGTTGTTGATTCAGTCATTTTTTACTTTGATACAATTTTTCACATCAACAGCATGGTAAACTCTTATTATCAAGATTATGTTAAATTTTTGGATTAGTCATGCAATGTTATTAAGGGGAATGACATAATTTTGACACATTTGTGGAGAGTTGCCTCTTTTTATATTAAAGAACAAAGACTGGACCATTATGTATATCAAGAAATGAAATTAATATCTTCATGTATCAGTTTCATATATTTGGTTAAGGCAAACTAAACTTAAAGAACAATATGAACACAGATGAAGCCCCCGCTTGCATACAACATTGTCAAGGGACATAACTCAAGAACAATAAGAAAGACACTACCCAAATTTGTACTTGATCTGGGTTTTGTTGTGTTAAGTATTGTGTATAGCTTTCATAAAGTTTGGTTTGGCCAAACTTAAGTTACAGAACAAAAACCAAGCTTACCTTTCTTCTTTTAGCTTCATTCCTTAATGTATATGCAGATTTTCTTTTCAGTTTTGGCATAATATTTCACAGTTCACACTGAAAAACAAATAAAAATAAAAATCTAAAATATAAATGTGGATAGTGTGGAATGTGGACACAGATGATGCCCCCGCTTGCATATCATATAGTTATAAGGGGACAAAACTGAAGAATGGTAAAAGTGACACTACCCAAATTTGAACTTGATCTGTATTTTGTGGTAATAAGCATTGTGTATAAGTTTCATTACATTTGGTTGAGACATACTTAAGTTAGAGAACAGAAACTAAAAATTTAGCAACATACATACGTACGTCAGACAAACAAGGGTAAACTTAATGCCCCCTCCACTACAGCAGGGACATACAAATATTTTGAATCCTTTATAAATATTTTAATCCTCTATATGGAAAATATAAACAAAAGGAATTTTCTTGTGCTTAAATTTTTTTACCAAGATATTTTTAATAAACCTTCAAAAAAACATGACAACAACTTTATAAAAAATGAGAGGAAAATTCATATTTACAAAATAATTATTCCACACTTGTAACAAATACTTTAAAACAATATTTATATCAACACCTTTATATATATTGAGGCAAAATATACCAATTAAAATAAACTCATAATGAACCATTGTATTAAAAAAATTAACTTACCTTATCGTTCCCTCAAGAACTGCACGGTCATAATCTCAATTCAAATTTCCAATGGACTTTGCAACGATAACAGCCCATTTAAATACATGGTGAAGGTATTAAAATAGAAAATGACATCATAGTCATGTCTGGCAAATTTCCAATATACATAATTTAAAACCAGTTTAGGTGAGATAAACAAAAAAGCTTCATCAGCAACATTTTATATTGGCAAATTTCCAATGAAGTTCATTAAACTAAAGTCATTGGCAAATTTCCAATGGAATTTATTAATAATAAAGTTTTTGGCAAATTTCCAATATAAATAATTTAAAAGCAGTCTAGGTGAGATATTCAAATGAGTTTCAATTACCAACCTTACACTGCCTTTTAAATTATGTTTTGTACTTAATTGTCCATTAACCTGGAAACCCTTTTCCCCCCTTTTGTGCACCTTATTCCTTAACAGTTTGAGCCATAACTCACAAAGACAATTCTTACCATCCCTTTGTGGTATAATTTCAGAGATCCATACACCATTCCACACTTTATTGTCAGAAAAATTCTTATTTGGGCCCTTTTTTTACCCCTAATTCCTAAACTGTTAGGACCATAACTCTCAGCCTATCAAAGAACCCACATAATTCATTTTTTAGTGATATCAAATGCAAATTTCCAATGAAGTTCCTTCAACTATAGTTTTTGGCAAATTTCCAATAGAATTTATTAATAATAAAGTTTTTGGCAAATTTCCAATAGAATTTATTAATAATAAAGTTTTTGGCAAATTTCCAATAGAATTTATTAATAATAAAGTTTTTGGCAAATTTCCAATATACATAATTTAAAAGCAGTTTAGGTGAGATAAACAAAAAAGCTTCATCAACAAAATTTTATATTGGCAAATTTCCAATGAAGTTCATTAAACTAAAGTTATTGGCAAATTTCCAATGGAATTTATTGATAATAAAGTTTTTGGCAAATTTCCAAAATACATAATTTAAAAGCAGTTTAGGTGAGATATTCAAATGAGTTTCAATTACCAATATTACACTGCCTTTTAGATTATGTTTTGAACTTAAGTAATTGTCCATTAACCTGGAAACCCTTTTCTCCCCTTTTTGCACCTTATTCCTTAACGGTTTGAGCCATAACTCCCAAAGACAATTCTTACCATCCCTTTGTGGTATTCCAATATCCAAAATCTAAATACATGGTTACATTTAGCATATCAAAGAACACCCAGAATTCATTTTTTGATGAAATCAAATAAAGTTCAATTTTGGACCCTTCAAACCTCAATGTAACCCCAAGAATTCAATTTAATTTCAGAGATCCATACACCATTCCACACTTTATTGTCAGAAACTAGAAAAATTCTTATTTGGGCCCTTTTTTGACCCCTAATTCCTAAACTGTTAGGACCATAACTCTCAGCCTATCAAAGAACCCACATAATTCAATTTTTAATGATATCAAATGCAAATTTCCAATGAAGTTCCTTCAACTATAGTTTTTGGCAAATTTCCAATAGAATTTATTAATAATAAAGTTTTTGGCAAATTTCCAATATACATAATTTAAAAGCAGTTTAGGTGAGATAAACAAAAAAGCTTCATCAACAAAATTTTATATTGGCAAATTTCCAATGAAGTTCATTAAACTAAAGTTATTGGCAAATTTCCAATGGAATTTATTGATAATAAAGTTTTTGGCAAATTTCCAAAATACATAATTTAAAAGCAGTTTAGGTGAGATATTCAAATGAGTTTCAATTACCAATATTACACTGCCTTTTAGATTATGTTTTGAACTTAAGTAATTGTCCATTAACCTGGAAACCCTTTTCTCCCCTTTTTGCACCTTATTCCTTAACGGTTTGAGCCATAACTCCCAAAGACAATTCTAACCATCCCTTTGTGGTATTCCAATATCCAAAATCTAAATATATGGTTACATTTAGCATATCAAAGAACACCAAGAATTCATTTTTTGATGAAATCAAATAAAGTTCAATTTTGGACCCTTTAAACCTCAATGTAACCCCAAGAATTCAATTTTTGATGAAATCAAATTAAGTTCAATTTTGGACCCTTTAAACCTCAATGAGGACCAATTTGATAACCGGGCCCAAATATCAAAAATCTACATACATGGTTAGATTCAGCATATCGAAGAAACCCATATATTCAATTTTGGTTAAAATCAAACAATGTTTAATTTTGGACCCCGATTTGGACCAACTTGAAAACTGGGCCCATAATAAAAAAACTAAGTACATGTTTAGATTTAGCATATCAAAGAACACCAAGAATTCAATTTTTGTTAAAATCAAAATAAGTTAAATTTTGGACCCTTTGGACCTTGATGTAGACCAATTTGAAAACAGGACCAAACATTAAGAATCTAAATACACAGTTAGATTCGACATATCAAAGAACAACAATAGTTCAATTTTTGATGAAATCAAACAAAGTTTAATTTGGGACCCTTTTGGCCCCTAATTCCTAAACTGTTGGGACCAAAACTACCAACATCAATCCCAACCTTCCTTTTGTGGTCATAAACCTTGTGTTTAAATTTCATAGATTTCTATTTACTTATAGTAGAGTTATTGTGCGAAAACCAAGAAAAATGCTTATTCGGTCCTTTTTTGACCCCTTATTCTTAAACTGTTAAGACCAAAACTCCAAAAATCAATCCCAACCTTCCTTTTGTGGTCATAAACCTTGTGTTTAAATTTCATAGATTTCTATTAACTTATACTAAAGTTATAGTGCGAAAACAAAATGTCTTCTGACGACTACAACGACGCCCCTTTTTGGCCCCTAATTCCTTAAAGTTTGAGGCAATTACCCACAAAATCAATCCCAGCATTCCTTTTGTGATATGGAACCTTGTGGTACAATGTCAGAGAGATCCATACACTATCACACAAGTTATGTCTGGAAGTTACAAAAATGCTTATTTTCGGCCCCTTTTTGGCCCCTAATTCCTTTACTGTTGGTACCATAACCCCCAAAATCAATCCCAACCTTCCTTTTGTGGTATTGAACCTTGTGGTAAAATTTCATAGAGACCCATTCACTTAAACTAAAGTTAGAGTGCGAAAACCAATGTGTCTTCGGACGACGCCGGACGACGCCGGACGACGACGACGACGCCAACGTCATACCAATATACGACCACACAATTTTTTTTTGCGGTCGTATAAAAATTAATCTAGTTTGACAAACATGTTTGCTAAAGAGATCATTCTTAAGTCATAATAAACTCAGACTTTACGGAAATATAAATCACTACTTTCCCAAGCATAAAAATGAATAAATGCGTCAAATGTGAAACGATATTTCTCCAATCTAGACAATTTATTTTTTCAAATTCAAAATACAAAATGTACTAAATTATCAGTCAAATTTTGAAAAATATCGTATCCGACGAAAGGTAGGTTAGTTTATTTCTTTAGCGAATTTTAGACCAATGGAAGCTCTGATCTACTAAAAAACTAAGATTTTGTAATCAGGCATTGTCGCATTTTTTCGTTTGTCAGCGGAATTTTAACATCATAAACGATTTTTTATCAAGAAGAACTGAGATCAGACGAATCACTTGTTGATAATTATAAAAACCAACCGTTCGGAAAAAGTCGTCTTGGAATTAAAGTAAAGATGTGTATACAGGTTTAAATTGCATACAGCAAAACTTGTGTCTCATCCATTTGTTTAGTTTCTGAACAATAAAATATGTTTAAACTATACAGTGATGCACTTTGTATTATACGTTTCGGTTATACAGTGAGGGATCGAGATATAAGTTTTCAAATATTTAAACGTATAATATGATATTGTATGTGTACTTACATTTAAACTGTATATCTTCCATTGCTTCTAAAACTTTGTACGAATGTATTCCGATTCTGCAGTCAATCTGCATGGTTCCTAAACATTCTCCATGGCATATTTGATGGGCAATATGTATCTTGCCATTTAAAAAAAAACTTGTTGTTGAAAAAAACTCACTGCTTACATTTATGTGTTCTGTAATGCCTAATTTCTTAAAAAAAATAAATCAACATTTGGAAGAGGAGCAGTCAGAAATAATAAATTTCAATTAAAATCTTACATTAATATTACGTGGTTTAACGTTTACTTAAGTAGTAATTCGTCGATAAGAAAATCTTGGTGTAGTTTAAAAAGACAAAAATCCAGAAAAAAGAGCATATTAATAAACTTTTAACACAGAGATATGTCTCGCATTTTTGTTAATTTGAAAGTAAATCGCAAATGCTGAAATTAAAATAGCAATACTTTAACATGTGTACGTAAGTTATGGTAAATATTCAAAGTCATTGAACCATGACTGAAGGTACAGGGGCAAACATTCTCCATGGAAATGAAATGTGGCAATGCAAATACAACTGCATTTCAAATATCAATAGACCTACCACTAGTGGTTCCCCATAAACTGACTCAATCAAAAACTTATAACTTCAGGTTCCTGATGGATGCAGTTGAGGACTATGCTAGAAAATGGGTAAAGCGCAAACCAGACAAACCAGAACTGGACACTTTGTCTGAATTGATTAAAGCTATTCGATCATGCATTCAGAAACTACGATGTACTATGAGCACAAGGGTTTTTAACCCATTTAAGAACCCGGAGGTTGTGGATGCTTTATCCTCTTTGCATGACAAATATGTCGTTGTTCAAGCAGATAAAGCCTCCAATAATATTGTCTTCGTATGTAAAAACCATTATTTGCAATGTCTCACAAAAGAGCTTGGAATAAACAGCACAACTGGTAATCCTACATATTCTTTAACATCATTTACAAAGGACGAAATTTTACAAAATCACAAATCTGTCCTTCTTTCATTTGGTATTAACATCAAAGAAAACGAAGAAAATCTACCGTCATTATACTGGATACCAAAACTTCAGAAAACTCCGTATAAAGAACGATACATAGCTGGATCATCAAGATGTTCGACTAAAACTTATTTCTAAAGTGTTGACTACTATTCTTTCTACAGTAAATGGCCTTCAAAAGTATTGTGACGAGATATATTCAACCAGTGGTGTCAATCAGATGTGGATTCTCAAAAATTCTAAAGATCTACTGCTAAATCTCAGATCACAATATCTGCAATTTTGCAGCAACATTAATACCTTTATTCTACGCTTTACACTACTATTTCCTATGCTAAATTGAAAGATCGACTTCACCATCTCATTAAAAACATAGCTTTTTCTATTAAAATGGGAATCGTAGATATAAATTTCTTGTTTTGGGTTATGATAATTCTTATTTTGTGAAGAACCACACTGATTCTATCAGAAAATACAGTGAAGATGATATTATCAAAATGCTGGACTTTTTAATCGACAATATATTTGTTGAGTTTAGAGGATTAATATTTCAACAGACAGTCGGTATTCCAATGGGTACTATTTGTGCTCTAGATCTCCTTCTGGCCAACTTGTTTTTGTACTCGTATGAAGCAGATTCAGAACCTTCTTAAAGACAAAAAGAAAAAGCACCTTGCAAAATTCTTTAATTTTACTTTCAGATATATTGATGATGTCCTATCACTGAATAACCCATATGTCAGTCAGTACTTGCATCTCATATATCCCAGTGAACTTGAAATTAAGGATACTACTGATAAAAGAAAAACTGCTTCATACCTTGATCTTTTTCTCAATATTGACACAGACGGACGACTTCACACTAAAATCTATGACAAACGGGATGATTTCAACTTCCCAATTATCAATTTCCCATTTCTCAGCAGTAACATACCCTCTGCTCCGTCATATGGTGTTTACATATCTCAATTGCTACGTTATGCTCGAGCATGTTCACACTATACTGAATTCATATACAGGAGTGTACTCCTTACGCAGAAACTGCTCCAACAGAGTTATGAGAAGGAAAGATTAAAAATGACACTCCGTAAATTTCATGGAAACCATCATGAATTGGTTGATCTATACGATGTGTCTGTGTCTCAACTAACTAATGACATTTTTACCATGTCTTAGATAGTGGTTTTACATCTATGTCGTATGTCTGCTAAGTACCGAAAGTGACCTATTCCCGAATATGACTGTTATACCGAGTGTGAATTTGCATTGGTATACGACGTGTCTCGGTATTTTGTACATCCAACATTCATGTATTTATTTTAAAGTTTTTGTTATGGTTTCGGTTGAATAATGTTTTATGTCTTATCGTTTGTTGTCCAAATAATTACAAAATTGCCTTTCAATACCATCATGGTCATATTCCTGAATATGATTGTTATACTGAGTGTGAATTTGCATCGCTATACGACGTGTCTCGGTATTTTGTACATCCAACATTAATGTATTCGTTTTTGATGTTTGATGGTTTCGGTTGGATAATGTGTTATGTCTTATCGTTTGTAGCCCAAATAATTATAAAATTGCCTTTCAATACCATCATTGTCATGAAAATTATTTGGACAAGTATTGTGAAAATAATTGTATAAAGTTCGAGATTGCATGTTAAGTTACGTAAGCGTGTCATTGTTTGTGATATCATGTGGTGTTTGTCGTTGATGGAAAATGTTCGTTGTTGTTCTGCGGTTTGCATGTTGTGTCGACTATTATATTATTTGTTTGTGCGTTTCTCTGTGATGAATGTTCTTATGTGTGTTTGTGCTGTATTTTTGTCACGTAGTGTTGTCATTTTAGCGATATTTTCTAACATTGTCATAAAGCGGGAGGTTTGGCTAGCAATTAAACCAGGTTCAACCCACCATTTTTTCTTAAAATGTCCTGTACCAAGTCAGGAATATGGCAGTTGTTATCAAATAGTTCGTTTCTATGTATGTTGGCGTTTTTTTTTGTTGCACTTACGTGTTCCTCTTGTTGCTTTGTTTTCCTCTTATAGTTGATGTGTTTCCCTCGGTTTAAGTTTGTAACCCGGATTTGTTTTCCCTCAATCGATTTATGACTTTTGAACACCGGTATACTACTGTTGCCTTTATTTATACATGTAAACTAAGCAAAAGTTTCAAAGTCAATCGAACATGACTGAGGAGACGGGGGTGAATAATCCCATGAAAATGAGATGTGCAACTGCATACGACATATCATTGACCTACCGCTAGCGGTTCCTCATAAACCGACTAAATCACAAACTAATACATTGTTAACGCCACCGCCGCCGCCGACGTCAAGGCGAGACAAAAAATGAAACAGTAAATACAAGTATCAATAAATATTTCTGATAACAGATATCCCTCATCAGTATGATGTAAAATGTATCTTATCAATCTATTTTGATTTCATTAAAACAATCTTGAATGTAATACAAATCAAAAACCGTAATATGCTTGTATGATTCAAAAATTTCAAAGTTCACGCAACATTAATATTTACAACATAGGCTGCGAATTTAAGTATGAAAGAGAATGTTTACCATAAGAGATATAGATCAAACAACTCATGAGAATTGGATATAACTTGATACAAATTTGTTTATGTTACATAAATGGTAATAATAAACTCGCCAATGGCTCGTTTATTACTATATTAAAATTAAGAAAGACTCGAGTTGATAGCAAGCAACATCCAATGTGCACTCGTTTTGAAACCTATAATTAATGCTATCATATCAATGTATCGTCTTCATGTAATATTAATTAGCAAAGACACATTATAACGTTTATTAAAATCTGAGTTGATTCTTTGGACACTCGTACAAAACACTAACTTCTAGTACTTAGATACCCCATCGATGAATCCCTTTAAGTGTAATTTTGAGTGTTTTCTGTTTTGAGGGCCCGGTATCTTTGACAGATATTTCACTTCTCAAACTCCGTTTGGTCATCAGAAGAAGGTAATAGAACATCACAGAAATTATATTTACAATATATATTAGGAAAGAATTGTCGCCAAGCCCGTCATAGTCATATGTATTCTATAACATTTCCAAAACTTTCATTTATAGATATAGTTTAACTACGGTGAACTATTAATGAGAAATGACAAAGATTGTATTTTTTTGTTTTTCAGATATCATCATACCCATAGGAACGAGCTCCTAGAACGAGCATCTCAAATTGGGAAATCACTGTCTTACTCATTCATTCACGGTAGGAGGAAATCGAAATAAGAACGGTATTTTACTTACCTGAAATGTACAGTTACATACTGGCTCAGGGTAAACTTCCAAAAATTCAACGTTTGCATTTAGATAACCATCAATTACAGTAACATTCTTTTTTACACTCTCCTCTGTAGGCATCACTATAATATACATTCAATTGGGATTGGCATGCAACAATATAACTGTTTGTATGATTGTTCATGGTTATTTAGCAAATAAAAGCTTATCTTGGTAATACTGAAGATAAGTCTACTAAACATATCTGGTTTGAATTTAATACACCAGTTCTCAAAGAGGTGATTTCATAGAGTATGCAATGTAAAATTACTATATTTATTTTTTGAAATTTGAAATTTCTATATCATTAAATGCTTTAAGTACTACTAGAGCTGATATTAAATTACATCCTGCTATTACCGAAATAAGAAGTTATCCATTTCGGATGATTAATATACTTAGAGCACTTAGAGAACGTGCCATACACTGAAGAGTTCAATTTCAGAGTGATAATCTTTCATCCCTTCTTCAGTTTATTAATACAAAGCGCACTATTTGCGTATTACAGTTAAACAATATTGCAAAGGGATTGTATTAATAATAATTAAAGACTAAATAACACATTTAATTTCACCTGAAATACTTACACGCAAAGTTATTTCCATTGATTGTGAGGTTTTTTGAGTGTTTAGAAAATCCATGAAAGCAAGTATACAAGCTATCTCCATCTTCTAATCCAAACTTCTTTATTCTTAAATATGAAGCATCCACACCCCACAACTCCTCATATTTGGTTTTATCATTTGACACTCGTCCTAATGTCAGAAGTGAATTGGTTTTCCCACCAGTCCACTGTGTTCCCTCTGGACAACAGTCTTTAATGTTGCACTTAAGAATGACATCCTCGTTGAACAAAAGCGGCTCCAATGGTTCCCAGGAAACTGAAATATATTTATACAATTTGGTAATAGTAACGTTTCTTGCTCACATTCTATATAAATCAGTAACAAGAAATACGACGAGCGCTCTACAAAAAAAAGAACATAATTGTATTAAACACTATCGTATATTGACTTGTCTTTCTGCAAATAAAATACATTTTTAAAACTAAGGGTTTTTGCCTGAAAAATTTAAAACGTATCAACATTTGTTCAAGTAAGATTTATAAGCTTTTCATCGCATCCCAATTTTGTTACGACCGAATTATGTTTAACTAATTTAAAAATCTGGGCACAGTTTAATTACAGATATACGCCCATAGGAAAATAGTTCTTTCACTTTACTCCGTTAGATATGTTTGTCGCTCATGTAAGGTCTAAAAACATTCCATTAAGGGTTCACACAATAAATATAACAAGCAATTTCAAATAAAATTGAAGGGGCCTTATAATTTTTCAATATGTTTCCTAGCACCATTTACAATGGGAAATAACTTTGTTGAATCACACTTAATTACTATATAAAACTTTAACTTTGTCTTGAAGTTTAAAAAAAAATGTTAAAGCATAACACTCGACCTGTCATTTGTGTTAACTTCAAATGATTTTATTGAAGGTTTCCCATGTTTTTTTTGGTGGTAACATACGTATTTTCTGCTTAATCAAGAGGCATACAAATGGGAAAAATGTCAATTTCAATATACATTTGTGTCGGTAAATCATTCAAGGTCTGTAACAACGTTTTCCAAAATCGGATTTTGGTCAATACTTAATTGTTTAAATGGGAACAAGTTTTGTGACATATGGACTTTTAACATAATTAAGACTCTTTACTAAGGGTACACGTATCTAAATAAAGTGAAATCTGAAATAAAGCCCATTAAAGCTTGCATGAGTCGGTATATTAAGTTGATTTTATTGTTTATTTTTATTATGTACAATTTTCGTTACCAGTTTGATAATGGATCCAAAATGTTTGATTTACAGATTATCCAACAAGTAAACTTTATTAAACATAAACTGACATCAATGAACTAAAATATTGTGCAACCGCTCTTTGCGTTCTATATAGTCCAAATTATTATGACGTCTTGGAAGGCTATTTTTTTTTTTGTGACGCCTTCCTGCGACGTCATATACTGAAGCTAATTTTTCGTCTGAGAGAGAATTTTGGGCGGAACTTTGAGACCCAATTTTGCTATGAAATCTTCATTGACGGCTAGAAATTTGTGCATATATACAAAGTCTTACCTTTTGTGTGCTTGTTGGTGCAAAATATTTCCAGAAATATCCAAAAGTAATGATAAAATAAGTTACGATTCCATTTGAGGTGTGCTATGTTTACAACTGGTACAAATTTGTTCAATTACAAATGTATCCTTGGTCAGGAACAAACTTGTCCTAATGGTACAATTCGGTACCTTACAAGCTATACGACTTGTCTAATACGGTACAATTTATATTTGACAAGCAACGACTAATACAAGTCTTAAAGAACAGGCACTAACCTTTTCCTTTGCTGCAATACAGAGCAATTTCATATTAGAAACTATACAAACTCTAATAATCATGTAATGTTCATATCGTGACCATCATTTTCGTAGACTTAAGACGAATGACAATGAACCACTACTATGGGGTGTTTCACGACCTTGACTACCCATGAGGGTCTCTAACGATCGGATACTGAACCAGAATTATCGTCTGATTATATACGGTTCTTAGGGCCTTACCATTATTGCAGAAGGGATGTTGACTTTTGTTCCTCATTGTTTATCTTAAAATTTACCTTCGAACATCCCTTTACATTTGACCTGACTTACAATTAACCCGCCGAATATTATTTCTATGTTTTTATCTAAGTATAACCAAAACGTTATATAAGGTTGCTATCAATCGGTTACTAGTCTAAACTGTCTAAACTTAAATTCAGTAAACATCACATTAATAAAGCATCTATCCCCGATAAAAGAATGTGTCAGAAGATGATTGATAAATTTGATATATATTCAAGTTGCAGCTGCAAAGGTAGCGGCCATATTTCTCAAACTTGAGCGGGGTTTCGTTTGCCGAGTTGTGTAAGTATTGCATCTACTATATCACTAGCTTATCAACATTGATGTTGTAATTCTAACCTTGCACATAGAAGGTGCGTTCAAATCCAATCCAAATAACCTAATTTCATATTACCGACTTTTGACTCCGGAGAAATTTTTTTTTTTCAACAGGGTCCCTACTCTGTAGTGGGACAATCTGGTACTTGTTCAAGTAAGAGTTAGTTAAAGAAGTAAAATCAAGCTTAGAAAACGGTGCAATTTAGGAGAAAAAATTACTTTTTTAATTTTTCTTTTCACGACAAAATTTTCGGAAATCAGTTTATTTTGTCCCAACATTGCACCGATTGTAAGCTTATTTTACTTCTTTTGGTTGCTCTTACTTGACCGAGTACCAGAACGTCCTACCACAGATAATGTAACCTGTCGAATAAATATATACAATGAACTCAAAAGTCGGTAATATGAAAATAATCTATTGACTAGGATTTCCAGCTTTCCTGCCCAAGGTCGGTGGTTCTTTCCTGGCACACCGGCTTCTTGCATTAATAAAAACTGGCCACTACGATATAGCCAATAGTGCTAAAAATGGTGTAACTGTTCAACAGCAAAATCAATCAATCAATCTTAAACTTGTGATATCACCACTACGCCTATGTGTCTATTCGACATCGGAATAAATAAACACAACTCCTCGCATATTCCATAAGTCGAACAAAAAATACCTTCGCCGAGTTTTCATGGAGAGAGAATCTATTCCGATAGATACAGGTAAAGTTGTACCTTCGAACATAAAACGTTAAACGTAGGAATTTAAGTCGCAATTCCGAAGTCGTGTCAGTTCTAACTTTGAAAGAACGATACAACACTGAAAAATGTCTGAACACATTGTTTGTGACTCTATATACGACTATTTAATTAGTGCATGAATCAAACAGACCTTACACGGACTGAGTTGAGACGACCTTGAAATTCTAAATATAGAATTGTGTTGCTGTTTGTTATAGGTAATGTTTTTGTTTTGTTTATTTAGAGATTATTTTTTTTCTTATGTATAAACAGAATTTGGAATAATTACAATATCATCTATGAACTACTTTCTAAAACACGTCGCATTGTTACTGATGTTGGCTATATTCGTAAACATGTCAAAATTGTGTTGATTTCATATAGTTCTATTATTATTATTATCTAAGTAATCTATTTCGATCATTACAGCAGAATAATTTTTCTTGAGAGGATGAAAGAGCTGAGATTTCATATTGAGTGAAAAAAAGGCACTCTTCTCATCTTTTTTTGTCCACAACTGAAGATTTTTTTTCTAGAAATGCATGCATTCTAAAGAAGTAAACTGAAAAAAAATATTGAAAAATAAATATTCACTATTCTGTTGCCGATGAAAAAAAACAATGTCTTGAATCATTGAATTTAAAAAAGACTAGAACAATTATCATATAATTATAGCAAATTGTACCGACACTCGTGTTCTTTGAATATTTTATTAGCGGATCTTTTATTTGACCCTTTCTTCGTACTTTTAACTTTGGTAAAATTTCTCAAACGTGTGTTTGACGATTTTTGTGAAAATGCAGCAAAATATAAGAATGGCTCAGTAGGAATAATATTTTGATTCTTTCATTTGAATTGTACAGGAAAATTTCTTAAGTAGGTGAAATCATGTGTAACCGGTTTTGTATTTATGTTCATCATTAATACATTTTTAATAAGGTCAATTTTGTATGCTAAAATAGCTCTTATTACAAGTGAGAGGTTTAGCTAGCTATAAAACCAGGTTCAATCCACCATTTTCTACATAAGAAAATGTCTGTATCAAGTCAGGAATATGACAGTTGTTATTCATTCGTTTGATGTGTTTGAGCTTTTGATTTTGCCATTTGATTAGGGACTTTCCGTTTTACAGTTAAGTCTGCCTCATATCTTGACTTACATCTAGAAATTGACAATGAGAGTCGGTTGAAAACAAAACTTTACGACAAAAGAGATGATTTCAGCTTCCCAATCATGACCTTTCCATTTTGAGTTCCAAATGGTGAAGTTGAAAACATCACTTCGTAAATTTTACGGACGCCATCACGAGTTGGTTGACCGTTATGGAATATCCGTTTCAAAGATAATATCGGATATGTTCCTTATGTCGTAACTATAATCCCGTTCCCTTTTCACGAATGTGACCTACCGAATTAGACTATTTACCGGCTTTGTATTAACATGAGCAAACGACGGGTGCCAGATGTGGAGCAGGATCTGCTTACCCTTCCGGAGCACCTGAGATCACCCCCAGTTTTTGGTGGGGTTCGTGTTGCTGTTGTTCCCCTATTTGTGACATTTTTACCTACTGTGTTTGTTTTGTTCACACATCGTTGTCAATATAATGGAATTTGATGCGACTGTCATACAAGTGAAAGTTTTAGCTAGCTTTAAAACCAGGTTTAATCCACCATTTTCTACATAAAAAATGCATGTACCAAGTCAGGAATATGACAGTTGTTATCCATTCGTTTGATGTTTTTTTGCGCTTTTGATTTTGCCATTTGATTAGGGACTTTCCTTTTTGAATTTTCCCCGGAGTTCGGTATTTTTGTGATTTTACTTTTTATTCTATCACGTTTTCTTAAAAGACTACCCAAAAATGCCAACCTATTCATTCTATACTGTTTTATCAATATAACAAGCGAACATTAGATAAAATATGAATGTGCTTTATCTTTAGCTTCTTTCAGCCTGTGCAATTTCAGGGGAAATAATCTCAACAATAAACCGTTCGTGCAACGGTTACTTGCAACGGTTGGTTGAAAGCATAATTGAGTATACACAATATCGTTTGCTATGAATAGAAAAAATATCCACATGAAATTATTACAAAGTTGTAGATTAAAATTATCCAAATACTTTTGACATGTTTGATAATGATTCATAAAACATACGTTG